ATCAGCAAGTGAACAAATAATTACAAAGGTTTAAAACTTGTCCTCGCCTTCGGTGAACGGTCGGATTGGTGCCTAGTCGACCACCTTGAATTTTCACTCCCGCCGCTGTAGTGTAGTGGCTAAGGGGAAACCAATCTATTGAAGTAGAAAGACATGCCTCGCGTTCATTGACCTTGAACGTAATGAAAAACACTCGAAGTGAAGTTTGCTGACCTGGTGGACAGGAGCAGATGATCCAACTTAGTTGCCTTTGGTATTCCGGAGAATTTCGGCGAAGCTGAAACTTTTCTTAGAAGTAAGCGACCTGAAGAAGCCTTCTCGAAGAAGCTTGCTATTGATTGCATGTCTGCGGGCAGAATTCGTCACCTCGGAAACGCGGGTAGTACGAGACCAGTCATCATACAATATCAGGATGTCACCGAAAAGCAGCTGATCCTAAAAAAATGCTCAAAACTAACAGGTATTTGCATATCAGTCCAAAACGATTACTCGCCAAATACGCTAAGGAAATGGAAATGGCTGTGATTGGATAGAGCTAGAACTGATACAGAGCAGCGCAAGAAAGATAGCTCACTTTATGATAAATTACTTAATAACAATGAATATTTCACAAGGAATGAGAGTAAAATACTTGACGTAAGAAGTTAGCGATGGCTGGTAGAAGCCTAGAAAGAAGTCAGAATGAAATAAACATGGTGTATTATCGTCGTCAGCATCAGCAGTACCAGAAAAATTTAAATCATTATTCCCAGCAAACATTCGTCTAGTGTGAATGCTATGAGTGCCAGGCCATCGTAGTATATTTATAAATGAGATGGCTGACACACTTGCGCGAACATCCCTTGATCTTCCGATTGTGCCAATCATGCCTCTAACAGCCTATGTAACAGTAGCGAGGTTCAGACACCTTTCCCTTCTTTATGACTCATCAAAAATTACGATACCGAATCCAGATTTCTCGCACCTGCACTTCGCATGGAATAATAAATGGTGTCCCACGCGCAAATTGGAAAACAAAATAAGTTGCCGTGTACCACCTCTTAATTTCTACTTAAACAGGTCTGGTCTGGTGCCAGCCCCTCTGTGCTCAAGCTGTAACGAACCTGAACATATCGACCAGTTTCTTCTCACATGTCACCATTTTAAAAATCAAAGAAAAAAATTACGTCGAAGGTTTATTAAAAAACTCGGAACATCACCTAGTACTCCTAATATTTTGTGTTTTGGGGCCGCTTTATTGGGACACAGCGACAGGAACGTCTGTGGGGCTCTCTGCGAATTCCTTTGTAACACAAGAAGATTACCTTGCTGAGCCATTGATGAGCTCTCGGTTTTTACTAGCCAATCTACCATTTATTATTTAGCTGTTACAATGCAATGCCTTGACTTTCAGAAGAATTTCGTATAACAATTACACCTCAGATATTCAACAAATTATAGTATTTCTCTCCTTCCCCCCTTTTTTATCTTGTGCGAAATTAAATTCACAGTCACAACAAAGTAATCATATTCCCCTAGTCTGAAAAACATAAAGGTATTGACTTGCAAGAACCACCGGCTTCCTGGCCGATCCCCCAGTGCGTGAGAGCCACAAAAGAAAGAATCAAGCAAGCAAGCTAGTATGAGCCAGGCCATGTCTCATAGTCATCATAGCGCCTTACAAGTGGACAGAATGAAGACCTGGCAGCCCCTTCATCAGTTGCACATCATAGACGATATCTTCGAGAGGACGCCTTCTCCCTGCATAGACTACGAAAGCAGCTCCTAGTAGTGTACAGTGACTAACATCATGACAGAATCGTCGACTACACCGGATAAGGAGACGATGGACCCATACAGAACTTGCTCAAATTAGAGTTCCATGCCACCACTGCCTCCTGGCCGGAACGGGTGATGGTTGAAACTTCAGCAACTACGTAGCCGGCAAGGCTTTCAAATTTTACCTCGCTCACGTATTCGAAAACTTTATATCAAGGCCAAATGTGAAATAGTAAATGTTCATCCGCTTTCAGGACTATAATGTGGATTCGATTAGAAGAAACCATCTAGATGCAATCGAAGCTTACTTATCACAGTCTTAGGCAGCCTTCAGGCATTCGAGCACCAAGAAGTTCACGATTCCCGTCAGGCGAAGTCAGCCATCTGCTCACGGAAAGACATCCTGGCCGTTTACGAAAGGCCTATTTTTTCACCTGGTTTTCCATCTACGCAAATACCGCCAACACTTAATTCTTCCATACAATACAAAAGCCAAGACATCATTCAAGCACCCAATGAACTTGACTCTTCATCTTGCTTACGTAAGCCACCACCTGGTTTTGTGTTCACTAGCTCTTTCGGTGCTCGTCACTCTTGACACACGCCTCACAATATTTATTTTTATTCATTTATTCAGAATACTGTCAATCCCGTGATGGGATTCTTACAGGAGGAGTGTCACATTGTACATAGTTAAAACAAGCAATACACAGACTAAGAATGTCGGAAGCACTTGAAATTTGAAGCGAATGTCTCAAATATAGTGCAAAATTTGCCGTTGTGATTGGCAAACAGCCTTTATGAATATAAACATCAGATGAAATGCTGGGGCTAGCAAAAAAATAAAAACAAATACACATCAAACTTGTACAGTCAGAGTTAAAACTTGCGACATCATCGATTCAGGAAATCACGTCTAAACAAAGTCAGCACACATTAAATCGCTCCATTAACAAATTCATCAACTGTCGGCTGTGTCAACACGGTAGGGTGCAGGGCATTATAAGCGCGTATGGCTCGCGGAAAAAAAGAGTGGAAAAAAAAACATTATTCTTGAAGGGATACTCATCAAGTGTGTTACAATGTTTATTTCGTGTTTGGCGCTTACAGTTAACCTCAACATAATTAGTCGGATTTATTTTCAAAGAGTTATGTAGCACCAGATACAAAAATCTCAGGCTATGAAGCTTGGCGCGGCTTGCCAGGGTGGGCAGATCTGCTTTTATCAAAAGAGCAGTAGGTGAGTCGGTACGCCTAAAACGGTTATAGGTAGTACGGACGGATATCGCTAGATGCACAACAGACCACTTCAAATATTGGCCAAATACATTTTCAAGCCACTGTCATTCCAAAACCGGTTCTACTTCAGAAACACTAAGCCTAATGCTCCCGACAAAATACAAACATTCGGAATTGGAAGCACATCAAACCATGTTCATGATGATGTCGTCTTCTAGAGCTGGACCAACCGAAAGTGGAAACAGTATGGAGTCACAATTGAACACAAGTCTCACCGAAAAAAAACAAAAAGCCATCTACTGCTTTTCTTGACCCAATCATTCTTGCATCCCACTCGTAAATTACGCCTAATTTAGGAGATGGAAGACAATAAGACATAAATTGAGACATAAAAGCACTCCTTGCACACCACAAGCACTCAGTCAAAATGTCATCACAATCAGTCAAGAAAAATGCTAAATAGAAAAAAAGTGTCTGTAGGACGCAGAATCCAACGCATCAGACATCCGACCTTCTAACGCTGCAAGGACTTCCAACCTTATTTGTTCTTCACTATTATCCAGGCTGTGTCATCAACATTTTCTTCGTTGAAGGCATGGTTATGCTCTCCAGAACACAACAGCCAACCTCGGCCACCTGAGGTCGCCTAGATATAACCAGACTGCCTTTCCTGTGAACGTTTTTGTGCAAGTATACGAAACTACCATGTGCCAAGAAACTAGTTCATTTTGTGGCATTTCTGTTTTATTATATGAGAATCCACTTCTTTATGCTTTAGAGTTTGTATATCGCGCATTTTTTCGGGGGAGGAAGGCCATGCGACGTAAGAAGATAGCGATTGTTGGTAGAAGTCGAGGAAAAAGTCAGATTGAAATAAACATGGTGTATGAGCGAGGTCACATCTCCTAGTCTTCATAGCGTCACAAACACAAAAATTTATTGTCGTCCCGAAACCTCCAGTAATCCTTGACTTTCCGCTCCCAGGCTTACGCTGATTCTAAAAAACTTCACGTTCTTAACATAAAAGCCTGTATAGCCGTTAGTAAATCGAAAATTTTTGAAGCTCCCATTTTAAGTTGCTATCCTCAAGTAATTGTCATAACCAAACATTGTTGCACGATGATATCAAAGATGCAGTGGTGTTTCCTCCATCCTATCGGGTGTATTGTCCTGAAATAAGTACTAGAGGGGCCGGGGTGGCTGTTACGGTAAAACAAACTATAAATGCTACCCCTTTACCGCAGGTCGGTCTCTTATAAATCGTTTCAATAAAGTTTTCTTGCTGGGGTAAAACGTGGTGGCACAGTGCGACTTCACTCCTGCACTTGCGCGCAGCGTCGACGCTACTCAACTGAGCGCAGGGTGGTAAGAACACTCTCGCCCACAAGAAGATACAAATTACGCGTGTGGTGCCGCGATTAAGCAGTTGTAACTACAACTAATACATCCTTGGTGTAGACGCATTAAACTTATGTGTACTCGCAATCTGTTGACCAGCACAAGAAATTTACCGCACCGCCAAGACCGACCAAGACGCGATCGGCACCCAGTAGAATAACTACGAGAGCAACTGCAGCCCAACAAAAGGTAATCGCCGAACAGTAGCAAAGCAACCGACGAAAACCCCGCTCATAAAAAAATCTTCCTCAGCCGCACTCGGGCAACGTCCCTCAGAGCTCTGCTCCAGCGAGCACTACCACTCCTTCCACCAACACGGATGTCTGTCGCGTCACTGCCAAGCTCCCCCACCCCCAATTGGGCAGAGTGATCCGAGGTATGGTTCGCGCAAGTCGAGGGGCAGTTATTTCTGGTACTCATTAGCCAAGACCGGACGAGCTACGAGTACGTCATCGTTCGCTTGGATTCTCGCTTCGCAGCCAAAGTCCACGACATACTCGCAAATACTTCAGCCGACGACTGCTATATGCACTTGAAGATAGAACTAATTCGACGGCTGTCACCTTCAGAGAACGAGAAAATTTGTCAACTCTTTCATCACGAAGCGCTCGGTGACCGCAAGCCTTCGCCGCTCCTGCGTGGTATGGGTGCCCTCGACGGCAGCATGCGTGTTCACGACTCCATCCTCCAAATATTGAGGCTCAACAGTTCACCCTGTCACATTCAGACCATCCTCCAGGTTAAGCCAAACCCGCCGCTGGGTGAGCTCGCAGAAACTGCCGACCATGTCGTCAGCGCCTTTCTACCCCAGCCACCTGTTTTTGTCGATGCCGCTGCCACCACGGAGCACAACTCCGAGCTCGCTAGCCCAGTCGACGAAACTGCCCATCTGATGGATTCTATTCAAAGGCATCTGGATCAATGCCCTCCATTGTGCCCCGAAACAAACCCCCAAAGCCTAGGCCGAAAAGCCGATACAACGCACCAAAGCGATGAAAGCCGCTGCTACTATCAATGGCGCTTTGGCGATTGAGCCCGCAAATGCCAACCACTCTGCTCAGTAGGACGGTGGGCAAAGTTTAATGGTGGCCCATAGAGACGGATGCGAGCTGCCAACTTAGAGGTTGTCGCATTTTTGTCACCGACGAAGCCAGTGGGCGAAGGTTCCTCATTCATAATGGTTATGGCATCTGCTACTTCTGTCAAGGGGCCGTCTGACAAGGCAAGAATGACTACAGCCCGTGGAGGAAGGAAAAACTGAGAATAAACCCTATCCTAACCCAATGCATTGGGAAAAGTGTGGCATAAGTGACGTAAAATTTATGGGGCAAACAAACCCAAATGGGACAAACAAAACAGAAGACGCTCGGCGGCGTACTCTCAGCGCTGGTTCGCTTCTGCGCGGACTTATAGCTCTGGCGTAAACTAAACGCGTGTTGTATGGTTTGCATGCAGTAAAATGTTGCAAACACATCTTTCCGACATTGTTCGTTCTTGGCAGGCCCGAGCGCTGCATGCTAAAATACTTCGTGGAGTGTTTTTTTTTGCAACAGCACCGAAAGCATCGGTACGTGTCGTAATCAAAATAATTCAGCCCCTGCATTATTGTATTCGAACTCAACCGGCAGTGACTTACGTGTCTACACGCCACGAGGCCTTTCTTTTCTCTCTCTTAGCCAGATTTCCCAATCTTCAGGCCGATTACTAGTTCTTTGCCCGTATATAGTGTCAGTGTGACACAGCATGATTTTGAAAGATTGCTTCCCAGCTATTCCGCGCAACGCCAGCCTAGTACTTGACATACTTCAAGTCGGTAGGAAGGTACCACTGTATTTTACACGTGATAGTGCACGTATAGTGTGTAATTTCAGGGTGCGCGCACACAACAAGCAGCGAGCGCACACCGTACAATACAAACACATTTAGTCCGCTAACAATAAAAGTTTATTGTCCTTCAGTATAAACGACACAACTTCTAAAAGTGCGACAGGGTGCCTACAACGCTAAAAACGAAAATTCACGTGTGTTCTAGCTCAGTTGACGCAATGAGTAAGAACCAACGTAGCGTACAGCTGAGAGCCCCGCATGCATATACTATGCATTATTGATCAACAGTGAAGCAAACATACGTGAAAGGTGCCAGCAGGTACATCCGGTGGTGCACGTGATTCGCACCGAGTATACACTACAGCTGAGCATCGCACAGGTTTCCTAAAACTCGTAAGAGAAGTAGCATTCTTGCATTGACTCGCTGCCAGCAGAAAACACTTAGCATTCAGCCGGCACCACTTCGAAGGCCGCTGCGGTGGCTGGCTTCTCGCCGGAAATCGCGAAATGTTTGTTTGCTTTTCCGCTAGGAAGTAGTGCGGCTGTTTGCGATGCGGTGGCTTCACAAATATGACGTCATGGCCCCTCATATATTTTTTCCTTCCTCCATGCTGCAGCTTTGCGCTGGAGCAGCCAGGAGCGGCAGCTTGCATCGTTCAATGGATGTTTGCTGCTGTTGTATATACAGTAGGGGGTGCTCTGAAGGGCACGTTTCTTCTTTCTGGCGATCGCTGCACCAGAAACGGCGGTCATCACGCGAGTGGTTTGGTTGCGTGGCCGAAACAGCCGCAACCATGGAGGAAGAAAAAATATAGAGAGGCCATGACGTCATATTCGTGAAGCCGCCGCATCGCAAACTTCCGCACTACCTGTTAGCGGGGAAGCAGAAAAACACTTCGCGATTTTTTCGGCGAGCAGCTAGCCATTACAGTGGCCTTGGAAGCAGCGCCGGCGGAGTGGTAGGTGTTCTCTAAAAGCAGCGAGTGAATTCGCAAGTGCCGCTTCTTTGGCGTCTTTTTCAGGTAAGCTGTGTGGCACCTGGCTGTAAAGTATACTCGGTGCGAATAGCATGCACCGCCGGTTGTACTTGGTGGCAATTTTCACGTATCTTCGCTTCACTGTTGACCAATACTAATTGGTATTTGCATGCGGAGCTCTCAGCTGTATGCTACGTTAGTTCTCACTCATTGCATCTACAGATATAGAACACATGCGAACTTTCATTTTTGGTGTTGTAGGCATTGCGTGGCGTTTTTAGAAGTTGTGTCGTTCATACGTAAGGACAATAAACTTTTCTTGTTATCGGAAGCAATGTGTATGTAGTGTACGGTGTGCGCTCACTGCTTGTTGTGTGCGCGTGCACTGGAATAACACACTTTACGTGCACGATCGCGTATACAATACAGTGGTGCCTTCTTACCCTCTGTTCTTACCGACGTGAGGTACGTCAAGGACTAGACTGGCGTGCACAGAATAGCTACGAAGCAAGCTATACGAGCAAAGAACTGCTAATCGGCCCGAAGATAGAGAAATTTGGCAAAGAGAAAAAAGTTCGTATGGCGAGTAGAACGCGTTCGAATACTATGAAACTGGGGCTAAATGATTTTGATGACGACACGTACCGGTGATTTCTGTGCTGTTGTACAAAAACACTCCACGAAGTATTTCAGCACGCCATGCTCGGGCCTGCTACGCACGAACAGTTTCGGAAAGGTGTGCTCACAATATTTTACTGTATGGAAATCATACAACATGCGTTAAGGTTACGCCGGGGCTTTAATTCAGCGCAGAAGCGAACCAGCACTGAGAGCACGCCGCTGAGCGTCTGCTGTTCTGTTTGCCTTATACCGGTTTGTTTGCCCCCTAAATTTAACTTCACTTCCGCCATACTTATCGCAAGGCATTGGGGTAAGATAGGGCCTCTCCTCAGTTTTTCTTCCTGCATGGACGCAACGGGCAAATTGGAGGGGTCGATTTCGGTGCGGGTGGACTGGCCTCCGTAGTTTAAGAGGAACACCTCCGCTGGTACGGTAATTCCTTCAAAGGTAATGGTGACACACCTGCCACGGTGTGCACAAGAGACAACCGAAACGGCTGAGTCGAAGCTTGCCGCGATGTCAACGGCATTCAAGCCCTCGTCGATACCGTACACAACGCCCAAGCAGGTGTTGTCCGTGAGTAGCACTGACCTGACATTCAGGGAGCAGATTCTCCGTAGCTCGATTAGCTCCGCAGGGCCCGCAGCTGGTTGAACGTCCACAGCAACGAGGTTGCGTTGAAGTTTGACACGGACGTGTCGATTGGCGGCGAATCCGAAAAAAACGCCGCGATGGAGTCGCGAGACCTGGCGAGGTACATTTCTTTCTTCCCCGCTGGTTTAAAACTGATTGTGCCACCGCGTTTCCTAACAATTGTTGGAGAGGCAGGGGCGACAGGCTCGGGCTCCACAGTCGGGTCGATTTCGGTGGCCGGGTTGAAGGAAGAGGTCGAGGTAGGGGGGAAGTGAAGCGTGGAGTGGCGACTTCACTTGGTGTGCCCATCGTGTCTGACGTTGCAGATGACGAAGGTGGCTTGTTGGGCTCTTAAGAGGAGCTGGAGACGAACAAGTTGTTTCTCTCTGTTGAGTATGCTCAAAAAGGGGTGCCCTGGGTAGAGATTTTCTATTTCGCATGTGTGGGCTATGGTGGCGATGAATTTGCCATGTAGGGAGGACTTGAGATGGGGCATGCTGTGATTACAGTTGCAGCCAATTTCGCAGGCTCTGAGTGGGCTTTCGCTCCAGCTTCTCCCCCTGCGGATACTGTCTGCTTTCTGTTCCTTCTCTTTCAAGCTTGTGCGTGTGGTGGGCGAGTGCTCCCTATTGCGCTTGCTCTTCGTGAAAGAGCTTGAGGGGCTGCGATCGAGTGTGGTGGGCGGCTACAGAAGGTGGGCCTATGTCCTTGATGAGATCGTCAAGGTTCAATCCGCTCTCTATGGCTGGCCCATAAAAGGGCTGCGCGTGAACGGTAGCGTAAAACAAAAAATAGGCCGGCGAAATTGAAGAGGCGTCCTTTCGCCCTGAAATCTAACACCAAACTCCATAACCGCTCCGGTTAACGACTCCCACAGAAAAGCATAAGCTTTTCACATATTCCAACAATCAAGCCAGTTTTGTTCTTCTTGCTGCCACGCAATACTACGGAACTTCTGAGTCTCATCGGCCCACTCAAAACTTGTTCTCCTCCTCGCGCGTAAGTGCTCTGGGAATCCAGTAATTTATATTTACTGACCAGTCGCTATCCTGTCTACGGGCTACGTCACTGGCCCATGTTAATTTCTTCCTCTTGATTTGACCTGATATACTTCACCGTCAATCGTTCTGCTCTCTTCCTGTCCTTCTCTTGTTTCCTTTGGTCTCTTGAAGGGGCTCTGCAACGCTTTTTGAACATTGTCAGAAAACGCTGCAAATTGGTAGTAGAGACTCCCGAGAACACGCGAGGCAAATATTATAGCGCAGCTGTCAGCCTGGGTTTTCAGTTTTTGATCAAAGTTAGCTAATCATATGTTTTATCTTCCTCGAAAAATGGCGTAAGATGCTGAAAAATTAAGTGTAAAAAAACCATCTATCAGCAGTTGGCTGATTTGAACACAGCGTGCTCAGTCGTTAAAGAAGCCGCCGCTGGAGGCCACGACTTGTCCACGCGCGTGCGCGCGATCACACTAAAAAGCCGCGCATAATAAAAAACAGAAAGAAAAAAGTGCTCAACGTCAACAGGTGCGCGTGATGTATTTTATTCGTCCTGCCATCCTACCTGCTGAGCTTTCAGCGCTTTCATCGGGACAAAAAAAAAACAGATAGTGTGATGACAGCAGGCAACAAATATTTGTAACTACACTCGCACATGGACGGATTCTTAAAAGTTGTGCGGCGTTGAATTCGCGAGACAACCAGAATTTGTGAGCTCTTCTAGTGAATTACTTCCATGCTTACTTGAAAAAAATCACAGCATACCCACGAACTGAATGATGATGAGTGGCGTGAAGCGTCCACCCGTCGATCCGTTCGTGCATCCTCAAGTCTCTTTATTTGCCGTGACGTTGCAACTTTAAAAGTCAAATTTACGCTTTAGGCGAAGCGTTGGCTCACCGCTGCTATAAGATGTAGCGTCCCATATCAGTGCAGAATAACTTGCATCAATCTCACATTTTTTCTACAGCGCTTCTTGCCGAAACTTATTTGAATCAACTTCAAAACGACAGTGCTGCCAAGCAGACTCGTCGTCACGCTCCTCTGTGCCTTTACAACAAAACGAGAGATGCACGCGGTACAAACCACGTGGACAGACGTACTGTGTTTTTTTAAAGGCGATGGTCATTCTTGGGGACCTTCGATGAAAAAATTTTGGTCTGTCTGTCTGTCTGTCTGTCTGTACATTTGTATGTTTGTCCACCCTAATGATACCTCAAACGGCACCAAACTGCCGACCTCATACGCAGCGCCCACCAATATTGCTCAAGGTTTAGCGTTCATGGTTGTGCGATTGTCAAATAAAATGCAAATATTGCGCATATCTGAGGCGCCATAACAACACGTCCATGTTTTGCATGTCTGCCTTTGCACTAGAAGAGGCACACACAAGTAACTCTAAGGACTGTAGCGTTTAACGCGCTGCGCTGACACTGCAACGCGATGCTCAAGAAAGTGTTTTTAATGCTTTGCTACAATGGCACGGTGGTGGCATCTGCCCGTCGCTTTGCATTCTACACCTTATCACCTCCGAGACTGCCGTGCATCTTTCTCCGCGGGCGCACACGCCTTTGTTTCGAAGATAACTGCAAGGTGGCACTCGTGTACAACATGCCTAGATGCGCTTGTTCGCCTCCGTTACACGCTCGAGGCACTCTAAAGCCGCGCCTTCAGAATACCATTCACCAGTTTTCTTGTGCGGAACATCAAATAAACGCTTTTTTTTACTTTCTCCAGACGCAAGACTATCATCTTTCGACGAAATATATAGTGTAACATCAAGATTCGCACCATTTTTTACTTAATACCCTCCGGCTATTTTGGTAAATAGCATACTTTACTTAAATGTATACTTTTGAGAGCAAGTAAAGCAAGTCTGTTTTCAAGTCTTGTAAAAAATAAATCATTACATGTTGGTGCAAAATATGGAACGAAATGGCATAGTGATACTATGGTCATTGAGTTTGTTGAGGTTTCACTTCTATCTCAATTTCACAGAAACGTTTATGCAATACACCTTGCATACAAAAGAATGAAGCAAGTTTAAATTGGATATTGTTGCAAATAACTGTGTTTTACACTCGGCAAACAAGCACCACGAAATTCAAGAAACGTGACCTATAGGAAAGCAGATCTGAAACTGGTACTTCCAATATTTTCCAGGGGAGTACTTGCACAACTTATAGAGCCCGTGTAGACACTAGCGCCAGATTCCCCTCAAGGTAATATTGTTATAAGCTCCATGGTATATATTTTTCTTTGAGGAACCCTTGACGGCAGCCATGACGGTGAGCGTACAATGCACATACTTGCGTATGGACGCACATCTATGCATTTTAAACGTGCATGTGTTTATCCGATAGTGGCCGTGAGAGCGATCGCGGACCACATTTTGTCTGCCTGCTATGATCACAAAGCACGTGATCTTTTTACAAGCTGGCAGCTCACTAATTATCTTTTGCATTGTACTTTAAGGCATTCAGTCTCTCACAACAAGACCCTTGCTATGAATGAACAAAGAAGGCTTTCATTTCACCAGTAGGCAAAAAAGTGTTTTACACTTGCCGTCATGGCCATTATTGGCAGGAACAACGAATCCGCGTGTAAATGCGCATACCCTTCAACGTGGATGGGAGGAAGATCACCATTGTACGTCTTTGGTAGAGCGTCAGAAGCAGAAATCAGTGAATGGTTCTGCGGGAACCTATGCTTACTTCCACTTTAGTTTTCATTCATTTACATCACAAAAACATCCTGTACTTTCTTTGGCTATCTTGTCGATTGGTACTTATTAATTTTGGGCTTGAAAAAAGAAAAGTGAGTCCTTGAAATTTCCCTGTTTGCTTTCGTGCTTTGGATATGTCTAGACGCCTGCTGAATACTTCTCGCTGTTTGAAGGTCACTTTTCTAATGTTCCTTTACAAATATGAGTCCGCATGTAGAGAAAGCAGTTTCTCAAATATAGTCAGTAAGAAGGCCACTTTTTTAACGTTCCCTACTTTCGCATGCACAGATAAATCAAGAAAACATCCTTATTTGAGCATGACGGGTACGTACATTTTAGGGCGTCGTTAGGACTCCCGCTTTTGATTTATGATAGCCTGAAGCGCTAAGATATATGAACGTACTCTGCCTCCTGAATGCATGCTATATTGAACTGTGATCCTTTACCTTCTCATTCTGCAGCGATGCTCCTCAAGCCTGGGTGCCGCCTCATCCACGCTGTCCACCGTGACTTGACTCCAGAGTCGTTCAGCCGCCGCTGATGCCCTTGGCCTGTTGCAGATAGAAGAAGAACTCAACTACACCTTTCAGGCCATAGCGGCGCGAATAGACGTGTAAGGAGAGTTGGGGGCCAATTTAAAAACTGCACTCCACATTGAGAGAAGAAGTTAAAGTTTCGGCAAAGGGGTGAATACTACACTGAATGTCGTAAAAACATATTTGAATATCACACGAAGCGAGGCCAGCTTTTTGAGGCACAATAATAATTGTAGTAAGCATGCGCTTCCTGAGAAATGTTGAAATGCTTTGCTGACTGCCTTGGTCTGCTCGTGTCCAAGGCAATCTGTCCCTAACCTTGCCTTCTCAAAGAGTGGTTGTTGGAGGGAATCAGACTGAAGAGTCGATGAACAGGACGAAAGGTTTATTTAGATCATTACAGAATGAAAATTCGAAAAATTTTTTTTTTGTCGAAAAAAAAGTGGCAGGCATTCGCCTGCCGCTTTTTGTTCTTTCGCAGTCCCTACATGCCAGACCTAGAGAAACATACAACGACGTTTTCACCAAATCAGGTAACTACTTTGAACGTCATTTAGCCAGCATCACCTCCAACATAACCACAAACACAACCCAAGAACGTGTAATGTTTCGGCAATGCTGTCGTATCTGGAGAATCATGCCTCCAGCAAACTTGATGTGTTTAGTTCGTCGTCCATGCTCTCGAACTGTGGTCGCAGGCCAGGCAACTCTAATGACATGTGCCTGGACATCTGGCATGGATTTGGATGTCGGTAGCCTATTAGTCACAAAAACACAGCGTGGTAATCTGGCGTACGTCTTCGGTGGAAAGTCGGTGTCGCGGTCTCTCTTTCTTGGGCATATAGGCGTCACGTGCAGCATTTCTGCGTCGGCACCAGCGACAGTAGTGCTGCGCGGAGGAGTTACAACCACGCACCTCCCAGTACATGAAAATCAGCCGGGCGACTTCACGCTCTTCCTTATTGTCACAAAGTAAGGCGGCTCCATTTATTCTGCCGCGACACCCGCGGAAAAGGGTGGCTCGCCAATCGCAACCACTCCTTCGCGGCTGGTCATAAAGGGGGGGTCATAAAGAGGGGGTTTCAGAGTCAATCATTACTGCAGACATGTAGCTCAAAGAACCTCACACAAACAGAGCAAACACCAAAAGAACAACCAAGGCGCCACAACAGTACACCGTGCACAAGCGTTCGGAATCTACATTTATTATGCCAGGTTTATCAAGAAAAAATGCTCATAAAGGAACGCAAAACTGTGAGAATCACTGCATTTTGGCACTTTAGAAGTGCATCAAGCAAAACAAGTGACCGTGTTCTCTTTTCATTGTACGCAAGTCAAGAATCGTTGATATATAATGAGATGAGCCCACATGGGAACTATTTATTTAAATGTTACAAGATATCTATCAAGCGAAAGGGCAAGTGTACGCTCCGAACGCAATCCAGACTGCTACAACGTTCATCAGCATTCCCATTACTTTTTGCTTTTTAAGTCAGGTAAAAAGCTTGTACATCTGGAGAACAAAGCTCTGTCGGAGCATGCGTCCTCGTTTTTTAGATATTCATTACACTCAGACTCTTTTAGAGTTCATCGACAAAAACAGAATCATAAAGAAAACAATATTTCCAAATAACGTACTCTTTACACTACTCCACATCTCTTAACATTTTCTTGTCACCGTCCCCGGCTCATTTGATTACATGGGGGTACATCAATACAAAAACAAAATGGATTAACCTGCCAACAAACATGCCCGTCTCGTTAATGTTATAAGATACCGCCGCCCATATGGAAAGCAAAAAAGATGTTTAGAGCGCCTTAACTCTAGACTGCTAATGGCCAACAGAAACACATGCGACTAAATTACTACACAAAGAAAACTTTCGCATGGACTCTGAAAAACTCCTAAACAATAATCTTGCTTCCTCACGCTACCTCAAAGCCAACTAGCATCATACTTGTAACCTACTTGTAGGACGTACTCTGACGCACGCTCTTGTGCTTGTCGTTTTGAAACTGCACAACGCTTATATTCAAAAGACAAGCAGACATCGTTTAATAAAATAAGTGAAACCTAAAAGATGTTACGCATATCATATCCAATAGCCTACATACTTAAAGGAAGCATTCAAAAACCCAAAATATCAAACGTTTAAAGCAGAACAGAGAAGTTCGGTGGCAACCATACTTCGAAAGCTTTTGCTTGTCACTCAATTCGCTGCACCGATTAGTTTTGTTCCCAAACCGTCTTCGTAATGCTCTAGCACATTACATAGACGCGTCAGTTACAAGACAACCCTCCTGAAATAAGCCTTTGATGAACACTTAAAATACCAGAAGAACCCACTGGGTATGCGCTGTCTAACTTTTTGAAAAACTAATTCTTATTATCAGCACGGCTGAAATTCTCTCATCATACTCATGCTCCATGGGGCTTCTGTTTTCAAACCCTCTCTGCTTATAAAAAACAACAAACTACTGCTGCCGAGCTCACCCTATTCATACAATGCTTCCTTTACGCACGCGAGATAAACAAGCTACCGAAACCTGCTCCGTCTCTTAACTTGTGAATTCGTTTGAATGACATCCTGTGGGTTTTGTTTTGAGAGTCTTTAGAGTTCGCTCGCAGTTACAGATGAGGCTTAACCTTGCTCGTTCTTCATTGAAACGCTTTGTTCGGCGGTTAGGCCGTGTGGCCTTTGTTCCACGAAAAGAAGAAAACCGTAAATGTGGAGCGATAACGAGTCTCAACTCTTTATTCTTACTACGTGCACCGCTCTCCTGTACTGTGGCTTTTCGTCGTCGAGATAATTTTTTTCGACACTTCACCTCTTCCGCCACTTGCACAAACCTTACGCATAAATGGACGTTATTTTTAACTACGCACTGTCTGATTGTGTGGTCTCTTTGGCTGCAGTGTGGCATCCTTTGCTATAGTGTTTGTGGTCCGGAACACATCAGTCTCCTTCTTTTAGGGCCGTTTCTGCAAACATTGTTCCCAGTTACAAATTTTGCGCTGGTGCCCTCAAACCTACCCATTATAGAGGACCTATCGTGCTCAGAAACTTTCTCGTTTGCATTTTCTGCGAATACTAGGGAGCCTAGCAATTTTTGAGGCAGCTCCACTTCACCTCTCACTACTTTAAGGCTACTGGAAGCAGCCTGATCGCCGCAAAAACCCTGCTGTATGTTCCTTTCTCTGAACCTTCTTCGTGCACAGTGACGTTACGTCTAGCCACTTCTTTCTGGGTTGCAACTTAAAAATGTACTAGGCTGAAGTCTTTCTTTTACTTGCTACTTTGTGAATCTCAGTTCGCTCACAAAAGCTTCTAAAAACCAGGTGAACTCCTCGCCAACAGCCGTCCTTTCTTTATGCCGCCCATGTTTTCTACGAGGCTGTTTTTCACCTCATATTGCCTTGACATTTTTCACGTGGCACCTTTAATAACAATGACTTAAAAGACGCTTGGAATGTAGGTGTAATGGTTGCAACAAAGTTTTATTTGTGAGTGCGGCACTTATCATGTCTTTTCTCGTTCGAGTACTTGACCTGACGCTGCCCCAATCAATTTACTTTGAACCCTAACCAACTACCCCACCTTTCCATTATTCCGCAATGCATTTCTAATAGTATACAGGGTTTTTCTCTCCATTTCGACGTCCAACTACAAAACCCTGCCAGCTTGGCGTCTCCCATCGCCATTTGTGTGTGCAAAGCCAGAACTGCGTCTTGGTACAGAAGAAAAGATCTGCGCCCTAATGAAATTCAGGCTCTCTTCGCAAGCTTCACACTTTCATTGCACCATTCTTGTCAAATGTGCCGCCTTCTCTCTTCATAATGTGGTGTATATCCCGTTACCACAGAAACCTTTCGCGGGTGGTGAGCTACAAGAATCGAGACAACCCTTGAGGACAGTGACTATTCCGTGAGTGGAGCCGTATGGTTGACTGCACTACAGAATTTTTCCATCACTCCTTCTGCAGCGTCTTCCCAGAAAAGCCAAGGTGACTCCTCCAGAAAGTAATGTGTTGTTGGGTGATCACTGTGTCCCTGAGCGACACCTTCGAGTGCTTCAAAAAGGTCCCAAGTTCATCACGGAACCCTGCATCTTACCACCCAGACTAAGCTGGGTGTGCAACATCGCCCGCCAAGTACAAGAATGTGTTCGTCCACATTTCATCTTGGAAGCCATGGACGTGGTGTCTTACACTTCTCCCTGTTCTCATAAGCCACCTAGCATTCTTCCAGTGATGAACTACATGCTTGATAATTATCTTTTTAAACTGGATTTAGACAAAAGGTGTTTTTAGTTATTTTACACGAGAGAACGTACTATTGTAAAGCACAAGCTGTCATAGCAAAAAACTTATGCGCTTCCGAAAAAGCTAACAAGATGGGCGCACGTTAAGGGACTCCCGGTGGACGAAATTTCTGGAGCCTTCCACTACGGCATCTCTCATAATCATATGGTTGTTTCGGAACGGTAAACCCCAGATATCAATCATCAATGAAAAAGCTGGCAAGATTAAAGAACAAGCTGTGCCTTTGGTAAACGATGCACGAATCGATCATCTTGTCAAAGACATAAAGAAAGTCAAAAAACACCCTCGCGATATTTTTTTAGTGTTAAAACACATGAGGTATATATGCCCTTTAAATTCATAGTGTCTGAAAGAAATACCGGGCAATGCATTGTGTCATGGTATATTCAAAAGAATTTGTCCTGTCTTAACATGGATGGCCCATACCAAATCTCTAGTTTATCTTGTTTGGTACAGCACCTTAAAAAGCAGGCTCTAAAAGATTGCGCTGGTCTGATCGTATACGTTGATGGATTGTTATTTCCATTACCGCACAATGAACTCATGCAAAGTGTTAAGATATGCATTGCACAGTTTAATAATGAGCTTCTGTTTACGACAACGAGTTTCGTTTCTCTCGAATCCTTTTTCGAAATCTTTATGTACCTAAAATCTACCGTCATTGGTTGGCAAGACAATGTTTTGCGTCAGAA